TTTTTTTGAAAAATGGCCCATTTACATTAACCTCTCTATCTCCGTTGTCATTCAATTTAGAAGAAAAAAGTGTGCACATTATTTGTTCTATTTTTTATTAGGAAGCCAGTGGCGTACTCAGATTTTTTACAAATCGTACAGTTTTTCCGATATTACATAAACATAGGTTTTTTTAAATCTATTTTGGCCATCCCGTTGAATAGCATTTTTTTTACTTTTTCAGCCATATATAATAATATATACTTTTTATTTGCCTAAATGAAGAAAAATGCAAAAATGTATATAGATATTTTTTCGGTTGGCCATTTTATTTATTTATTCGTCTTTTGTTGTTTAATATTGACAGTTAGTTTATTTTTGACTGATTGAAAGCTTGTTAAACGTCTATTACTTGGTTTTAATTTTGAAAGGTATAAAAATGGTGTACGAAAATCTTCACAAAGTTCAAATGTTGGAGTGTTACATTGAGAGTGAAAAAAAATAGTGACACAGCTTTAAACTTATATTTGGAGAGATACCCAGAGCGTCATCAGCCAGAAAAGAGAATTTTTAGCACTCTATGATAACTTGTTTGAGTTTGGTTCATTTAAAAAACCGAGAGCTAAATCTTATAATATACAGAATAGAGAAAATGATGAAATCAATACTTTAGATTTTGTTGTCGCAAATCCCAATGTATTCAGCAGAGAAATTCAAAGGACGATAGGAATTGGTAAATTGCATTGAGAAGTATTGAGAATTTAAAAAAAAAACACAAGTTTCAACCATATACTATAAGAAAAGTCCACTATTTGCATCCAGGAGATGAAGAGAGACGCGTCATTTAATGCCAATGGTTTTTGCAGCAAACTCATGTAGGTATACCCCAATTTTTTTCAAAATGTTATTTGGACAGACGAGGCTTTTATAAGCAGCGAAGGTATATTCAACCGGCATAATGCGCGTTATTGGTCAGATGTGAATCCTCACCAAACTGTGGCCAGAATTCTATAAGGGCAGTTTGGTTTTCATGTATGGGTAGCTCTCTTCCACAATAGACTGTTAACTTATGAAATGTATGATGAAAACCTTAACGCTCAGAGATATGAAAATTATACAAGAAAATATTATTGAACCGCTGGACGATATGCCACTAGCTCAACGATATAATATGTTCTTTCAGCATGATGGTGCGCCTCCACATAATTCCCACATAGTTAGAGAATTATTAAATCATAATTTCGGGGACAATTGGATTGGCACGTACAGACCAAACAGGTGGCCGCCTAGGTCACCAGACCTAACCCTTATAGACTTTTATTTTTGGGGGGATCTTAAAGACAAAATTTATAAGTATAAAGCTAATAATGTCGAGGAGCTAAGGGAACATTTTGAAAACTATATTCAGCGGGTGTCAAATATCCACATTTACAATGCAACCCGCTCCATTGCCAAACGTTGTCAGTTATGTATTACTGACTTATGTTATATATTACTGACTTTGTTATATCATTTTTGTTTTATTGTTGTTTTTCTCATTTTATATTTGCTATTTTTGTTTAGTTTATGTTTAATAGTTATAAGTGTACCTATAATTAAACCTATTAAATAAAGATAAATGGATAATCTAATTTATTTTTTCTTGTAATTTTTTAGTCTAAGTTCGGTGCTTAATATAAAAATAATAATAGAAAACGAAGAAACCAATACTAAATAAATCTCATGGGCAACTGAAAAAATATCTATACATTTTTGCATTTTTCTTCATTTAGGCAAATAAAAAGTATCTATTATTATATATGGCTGAAAAGGTAAAAAAAAATTCTATTCAACGGGATGGCCAAATACAGGGTGTTCTATTTAAAAAAACCTATGTTTATGTAATATCGGAAAAACTGTGCGATTTGTAAAAAATCTGAGTACGCCACTGGCTTCCTAATAAAAAATAGAACAAATAATGCGCACACTTTTTTCTTCTAAATTGAATGACAACGGAGATAGAGAGGTTAATGTAAATGGGCCATTTTTCAAAAAAACCCTGTATATCTAAAACTAATCAAGTTAGCCAAGATCTTTTGGGACCAGCGAAGTAAACTCAAAAAAAGAGGACGGGACATCGATATCAGATTTTTTGTATCCATCACCGTTTTGGCTGTACCCTATAAAACTATCGAAAATCAACCACCCTGTACAGTGAAAGATTCCCGAATCGTCGAACACCACACCATACTATGTACGCTTCGATTAACAGAAGATACGAGATTATGATTAGTTTAAAAAGAAAAAAGTGAAAGAAACTCTTAATGTTATCGAAAATGAGCCAAGAAGTGTATTTTTGACAACTTTGAAGGCCCGTAATTCATAAACCTAAAATTTTTTATATATCTTTTTTTTTCGTAGATCGTATTTATTGTCGTGAATATGCAGTCAAACGTTGTCGGTGAAATTTGCGGGCACCCTGTATACCGTAATTGTTTGTCTCCATTAGCCTGAACAAAGTACTTTTCCTATTATAAAACAGTTACCCTTTACTTCCTTATAAATGCCCGTACATCCTTGTACATCCCATTACTTCCTAAAAGTTGTAAATAAGTTTCCTCACGTGCTTTCCTACGGTGTTATCCTTTCATATTCCTTTCAAATTTTCTTATTTCTGGCCTTCATCGACCATATTTTCCATACATTGCATTCTCATGTAATGTTTTCTAATAGTTTTGTTCAAAAACAATTTCAGATGTTTGTAGAGGGCACTACGAAGATTTCAACTTCTACCGGGTGGCTGACTCGATCATCTCTACACTACACTCTGCCAACCTATTTTTTGAAACTTTAAAGCCGTGGGAACTGAAAAAAAATCCACAGACCTCGAAAGAGTTGGACGTAGTCCTTCATCTCACCATGGAAACGCTGAGAGTGGCCGCTATTTTATTGCAACCCATCATTCCGAATATTTCCGGCGATTTGTTGGATAAAATAAACGTCGAGAAGCACCAGAGGCATTTCGAGGACGTAAAAGATTTTTCTTGGACGAATAGAGAATTTAAAGAGAGAAAGTTGGGGCTCGAAAAAATTGTTTTATTTAAAAGGATTTTGTCGGACGGAGACAAGAGGGCCAAGGCTAACAAATGAATGTTTTCCTTTTCTTGATGTAAGTGTTCTGAAAAATAAAGTTTGATTTTATTTTCTCAATTTATTTGTGGGTAGTTATAGAAAAAATTGTGGGAGAAGTTCGAGATCCCATTAATTTAAAACAAATAAAAATACGTAAAACGAAAATTATTTTATATTCGTAAGTAGAACCCTGTAGAACAATATACAGGGTGACTCAGAACTTATCCAAAAAAGATTTTTTTAATGTACAGGAGACTTACAAATACAATTTTGTAAAAAAAGATCAAAAAGTGCAGTTCGAAAATGATGTAAAAATATACAAAATTTTGCTCACCGTCTTGAAAACACACTAACACAAGTGTTGTCTTGCTTCGCCATAACACAAATACTTCATTATAACACAAATGTGGTCTTGCTTCACCAATTCATCAACTCAAGTTGATATACGTAAGCCATTTTTGACACTTGAAAAACTAATGTAAACACTATCGCAAAACGTTAATACTAAAATGGCATTTCTGTATTCAGAATCATGTGGGGCCACGTGGAGAGAGAGAGCGCATTATGTACAGCGTACAACGAGAATGACACTAGACTCTACAGTAGTCCAGCGATGTAAGGGTTGTATATACTACAACTTCAATATTTTTTTTCTTGCAAACTATATGGATTTTACAAATTTTGTTTACGATATTTGACTCCATTTTTCATAAAACATCTATTCCCAATTTTTTTTGATAAGTTGTGAATCACCCTGTACAGTAATAAAATCAAATATCTCAGAGATCAATAGTAGTTTATTATAATATTTATTTTTATTTACATTCAGACAGATCACATCGAGTAAGGGGTATAAAACATTTATTTTTACAATAGCATTCTGTAGTTGTAGAAGAGAATTTGAGGTACACAATGTATTTACATTTTGCGAGATCCAACACATTTTTACAGATATGTAGTTGTTTGAAATTTTATAAATAATGTTTTACAATCGTATTTTTTTGTTTATTTAAACCCTGTGTCTTAAGTTTAATGAAAAGGGTGTGCGGAGAAGGGAGGAGTTGTTTTCAGGATGCCCCTTTGTGTGATGGCGCAAAAGTTTGGAAAGTGATGTTGCTGCAAATAAACTCCTTTAACGATAGGCCGTTTATGAAAAAGACTGCTATATATAGAGAAAGGGAAGACAAAATTATACTGAACAGATGAATTGTGCAAACGCTTTTTGTATCCGGCTTGAAGGACCAAAAAATATGTTTATATGGTTTTTGATTCAGTTTTGTATTATCAGTTCCAACATTATGAAAAACTTAAAAGATGAACAAAAATGTTGATATTTTATCATATCCAAGAAGGTAATATATATGTATGCATTCCTATTAAAACAATTGGTTTAGTATCTAAATTCACTCAATTTCACTCAATAATGTATCAATTTCTGTTCACACCCGATTGAGTGAAATTTTCACTCTAATAGTATGAGTACAACTAAAATTTTATAAGTGAAACTATTGCAACAGAAGTGAGTGAATTTTACTCATATCCGAGTTTCGCTATCAAGTGAGTGATTTTTCATCTCTTCTGAGTTGAACTCTAATTAAGAGTTGACTTTTTCTTTAATGTGATTTAAATTTAACTATTATTGGGTAATTTTTTACTTAGACGAATAGATTGCTATAACCTACATTGTACGTTGCAAACACGTTTAAAAGTATAGATAACAATCTAACTATCCGTTTATTTAACCAAATATTAATCGAGACTCAATATATTATTGTTTTTAATTATTGCAATCAGGCCACTTGTCTAGTCTAGCACCACACGCCATACACCAAGCCAACAGATAGATGACCTATTGGGGACGATGGGAATAGACAAAGACAACGCACGACAACCATAGAATTGGGTGGGGGTCAATAATGAGGACGTTTACTATTAAGTGTACCAAATACAAGTTTATCTGAAGAATTTATTTAACGAGTACCTATGTTTGCGTGAAAGTACTCAGTTTTAGTTCAAATATTTTCACAAATGAGTAAAATTAATAAAATGCTTTATTGCTCACACCGATTTTTTTACAGTGCGCTAATAATAAAACAAATAGTTTTATCAATTTTACAATTTGTACGTGATATTTACTGTCTACTTAAATGTATTGTCGTTTGAGATATAGATTTATAAATTTTTCGTGATTATTATTTAGTTGATAAGATAGCGGCAAACATTAAAAAGATAAGAAAATTAAATTAAGTTCAATTACTACTTTTATGGTACTTTATTTTGACAAAATTTGCTTCGCCATGAAATTAAAGGATATTAATAAAAAAATATTATTTTTGCAAGAAACCGTCCGAGATCAATTATTATTTACAATAGCCAGTAGGGTCCGTCAGAATGTTTGGTTTGGAAACGCCAAGTGTTATTGGGTAACGAAATTGATTCGACCTTCTATTGTTCAACCTGAGATTCAGTCAAGTATTTATCTAGCAAGCGACGTTAGATTGATCTGAAATAAAGTCAACCAGTTAAGGTTTCTAGTGTTTTCTTAGGCGCGTGAACTTCACAATACGCCTGGTCGATTGCACTTAGTTCGGCTTCGATCGGTGTGACGACTACTGCGTGTGCGAGCAGTGGCGGAGAAATTGTTCCGCATAAAATGAAAGTAATAATGTTATTATAATGATATAATTTTTATTCTGAAGATGGGAAAATTTGTAAATGATATATTAATTACTGGAATATCACTTTTTATTTTAGATCACGACAAAAAATGTTTGTAATAAAATTACTACCGTCATTTATTTTTTAATACATAGGTATATTTTTAATTCTTTTATTTTACGTTATCCAAGAAACATAATTTTATTAAAAAGAGAGAAAATAAATCAAATCAAACAGCAACTATGGCATAAGATATTACAGAAGAGTATTATAATTATATTGCAAAAAAGGATAAATTGATTGCTATAAAAAAATAAAACAAGTAAACAATAATGTACATATTTGTAAATATTAAAAAATAGCGATCTTTGTTATACGCTGTAATAGTAAACTTTTTCCTAGAGCAGTAGAATCACATATTGAGAAAAATTTATATTTTCATTTAAAAAATATGGAAAATGTACATTTTTAGTTTACGTTTAATTGAAAATAAGTTGCACTAAATTTAGGTCGGTAATAAATAAAAATATAGAGGCATTATGTTTTTGCACATATGAATTGAACTGTATGGATTTGTTTTTTTTATATGTGGTTGTTTATTTATTTCATAAATTAGTAATATCTATGTAAGGTTAATTTAAACATTAATTTGCAAAAATTTGGCGGGTTGGATTAATATTCTCTTATTTTTCCGTATATCAGAATTTTTTTCATCACAATAAGTTATTTTAAGGTTTCTGAGGGTAAATTTCTATATAAGGTCGCGTTAGGCTTTTGTTTGTATGGGGTATAAATGCGATCAAACAAGCGGATTCAAAGACATAAATTAACAAAAATAATTCTGTTTTTCTTTCTTGTTTCCTTACACTGGTTTCCCACAATATCATTAGATTATAGCAAATTTGTGGCATGTGTATACGTTTGTCAATAATCAACAGTTAAAGCTACTTATCAAATTTGGAGAAAATGGAGCGTTTTTTTGTTGATTTGTGACATTTATCCAGCATTAAAATTTGGTTAAATAATTTAATTAGATCATTTGTTATACATTTAGATTTCTACATAAAATTAGGTTAATTTTTTTTAATAATGTTCAAAAAAGAAAGCGTAGACATCTGTTTATCATCTAGCTCTATAGCTTATGCTTTTGGGTTATTTTACACCGGCCTATTTCTTCTACTACGCTAAACACTGACGCCAGGAGACGATCAACCCCCAATCTGGAAATTTTAACCGAACTTTGTCATGGGGTAGGGATCTATGCCTGACAATATTTAGACAAGGGACCAATGGTTTCACATCCTTTCCGAGGGATGTTATGTCTTCCTATACAAATCTCACCTAAATTTGTATAGCTTCTGTGAATACACCGATACACAGGCCACTAAAGGTGGACGAGCATCGCGAGTCTTCTCTGGATGGTCACCCTTCCAAGCATTAACCGCGATCAGCGTTGCTTGACTTTTCATATCAATGACTTGAATGCCAAGTAGGTAGGACTTTAATTTTGAATGGTTTAAAACACATGTTAAAATTTATCAAATATATCTACTATCTACATCAGTTAATTTAAGGTTTCTGCTATGGACTTAATTTTTTATTCTTGTAAGGTCCGTTTCAGAGTATCACATTTCCATTTTTGTTTGATCAACATAGTTTGATGATATCTAAATTAACTTTCATACCATCAAACTATTTTGAAGAAACTCATTTATTTGGTGAAACAATAATAGCAAAAAAAAATTGAAGTTACTCTTAAGAATGGCCCCAAAAGCTACGAGTTTATTTTTTCGAATATTATATTTTCTGCCTGTCTTTAATTTAATTAACAAGTAACCATTGATAAAAAAGAGTTTCATTAGTTTTATGCTAGTATAGTATGGATGGATAGAAAGAGAGAGAGGGTAATTGGCCAAAAGGTAAAGTGAGATAAAACTAGTCTTGCGTCGTGACGGGACATTTGCAGGCGATTTGTTACATCCATTAGGTGGTGTTATTGCGTATTTTACATATAGATTTGATAGTAATTCTTTTAATTGTTGTGTTACTACCAAAAAAAGTCAATTTCTTAATCAGAAATAGAGTTTCTTTTTAAATCAATGTCGTGCGATTTTATCATAGGTCATGTGACTGAGGGCAAATCACTGCCGCTTTTGCAGTTCATGTTGCAACAGTTACAATGCACAGATAGTCGGCTTTGGCTTCGTCCATACTGTCAAGTCTATGGTTTGATCAAACTCGTCGTGACGTCAAAATGACGTCTTCAAACTATTTTGATCAAACATTTGACGAAAATTTGGTAGTCTTGACACGGACATAAAGTGAAGTATTTTCTGTTGCACTCTGATTTCAAATGAAAATTCAATAAATAATAGCCAATTACCTTGTCGAATTTTTTAAATTATGAAATCACGAAATTACAGCTAAAAGAAGTTAATAATGCAAATACAAATATTAATTTGTCATTAGACAGCTAATGACAAAATTAGAAGTTAAACCATAGACCTATAGTAAACTATGGACTGGCCCTAGAAAGAGAGGTCAATCGCGCTGATGTGTAAAAGGCAGATGAAGTTAGTTGAAGCAAATACCTTTAAAATGAATGATGGTACACGGGTATACCGGTACAAAATGATGTAAACAAACTTTGAAGTAAATGTTATGTATTGACATTATTGATTGATTTCTTGAATTTTTGTGTGATTTAGTTAATTATTTCCCCCATCCTCAAAATAAAATGTCATTTAATATCAAACCGAATATAAAGAAAAAGTTTTAACTGAAATGTGCTTATAATGTGCTCCAGCAAAAATTCTCTTCAAATAATATGTTGAACGAAGAAAGCATCGATATAGTTTCAATTTATGCAGTTCTGCAAAGCAAGAAAATATGAAATATTTGGAACAACTACGCCAGAAGAGCTTGCAGTAATGTTAACCGATCGAGTTTACGATATGCAGAAAATAAATGGAGAAATACATAAAGAAGGCATTATAAAAGCTATTTGGAATATTATAGTTAAAACAATTCAAATATTGTACTGTAATTAGGATAGTAATATAATAAACCCTTTTACATACCTACACTACTGGAAAAAATGAAAATTTTTTGTCTTTTAGTCTCTATATTATTTTTATAAAGTCTGAATAAGGCCCAACAGAAAAAAAAGGGTAAGGAATCGAGTATAGCTAGCTGATTAGTTGAATTAAATGTCGTTGCAGTCGAAATTCTGTGAACGAAGCTTAAGCCCTTACTAGCTCCATCTCTCTCGCACACGTCTGAGCGAATGCCGTTTATATGGGTAAAATGACAGTTGGGCGAGTCCAGTAACTGCCAAACTTTTACTGAATTTAGTAGGATGAGAGAACTAATGAAAATTATCAAAATCTGCAAAAAGAAAACAAAATATTCTCTTCAGTTTAGTTCACAATTAATCGAAGTCCCCTACGACGCTACGCCATTGTCAACTAGAACACCGCGCCGGCAGCCGTCAAACAACAGCTGATTCCTTTCACTCGATTTGTCCACAACTCACAACATCATTTATTGCCCGTATCGTTGCGAGTGCACGGTAGCGCGAGATAACGAAGCAGATACACTAAATACATAAAATTTATTGATATTTACAAGTGAGCGCGTGTAGAAGTGACACAGTGACTTAAAAATGGGGTTCATAAGCGGCAGAGCGCTCCACTACGTCTTCAAAATACCGGACAGGAAGGAAACCATGCGGTTCTACAGAGAAGTGCTCGGCATGAAGGTGCTCAGACACGAAGAGTTCTCCGAAGGTTGCGAAGCGACTTGCAACGGGCCGTACAAAGGACGGTGGAGTAAAACAATGGTAGGTTATGGCCCTGAGGACTCGCATTTTGTAGTAGAACTGACCTACAATTACGGCATCCACTCCTACGACAGGGGAAACGATTTCATAGGCATGACGGTGAAGAGCAAGGAGGCCCTCGAACGCGCAAAGAAACAGAAGTGGCCGGTGCAAGCTGGGAATATTTTGGAAGCCCCAGGAGGCTATTCCTTCACCATAATAGACGAGCCTCAACCCACAGATAAAGACCCAGTGCAGAAGGTGACCGTAGCCTCCTCTAACTTAGACAATTCTATAAAATACTGGAACGGCGTCCTAGGACTTACGATTTTCGAGCAGACCAAAGATACCGTTTTGGTCGGGTTCAATAAAGACGAAGCTAAACTCGAGCTGAAAGATATAGGGCAACCCGTGGTCCGCAAACAGGCGTTCGGCCGTATAGCGTTCTCCTGTCCTTTTGAGCAGCAGGAGCAGGTCGACAAGGTGATAAAGGAAAACAATCAAACCATCGTCACCCCGCTCATATCTTTGGATACTCCTGGCAAAGCTACGGTGAGGGTGATCATTTTGGCCGATCCTGACGGCCTCGAGATTTGCTTCGTTGACGACGAGAACTACAGGCAGCTGTCTCAACCCGATCCGGATAGTGAGAGAGTGCTAAATACGCAGATAAGGAAAGATACGTCGTAAAGTGATGAGAGTGTTGAGGTGGCGAGTGTGATATAATGTACCCAAAAGTGGGAAATATACATATTATGGGAAAGGAACTTGATTTGCAGTTATTTTTTTTTATGAATATGTTATGCTCTTGTAGCTGCCACTGGACGATCTTATCGTTCTTTCATGTTTTATTTCTTTGAATTTTATTTACAAAATTAACTAAAAAATTAAAGGCGACATAGGTATAGCTAAATATTTTTTTTTTTTAGAAATCGCCAGTGAGTAAAATGGTTTTTAATATTCAATATTGCCTTCACTCTTATCCGATTGCATTTAAAGTATTGTATTTATGTAAATTATCTTATACAGGGTGTATTAAAACTATACCGAAAATCAAATCAGTTCAGAATAACAATACCTACTATTTCCAGTTTTTTCGGAAATATTTAACTGGCTGGCTTATTTTCATGAAATTAATATGCCCTTAAGAGGATATGGTATAGTTTCCAAACACTGTGTATATAAAACCAATACTCAATATACAAGGTGATTCTAAAATATATAACCAAACTAAAATCATGCAAACTGTTATTTAAAAACTTAAAATTAAGAAAATGTAATTTTTCTATGGACATGTGCACGAAAAAGTCGAGCAAAAAATATACGGGGTGATGCCAAAAACATAATTTCTTAAATAACTTCAAAATGGGTTAAGAGAGTTATAATAATTTCATGGAATACGTCATTTTAATCCCACACAATGGGAGTCCAAAGAGTTTTAGTTCCTCTTTTTTTACTTTTTTCTTATTTTAATTAGAATCACTAGAATTTGAAAGCCACTCTTGATTTTAGGATTATTTATCTGTAAAGTATATGAAAATATATTTTTTCTCTTAAGTTTGAGTTGTCATGAACATTTTTTTATATTAAAGAAGAACTCCCCTGCATCTTAACTATCGTGAGGGAGAAAAAAATATTCTGCCATGATTTTAATATAACTAAAAAACCTATACCAGTTATTAAAAAATTGTATTTCGCAGTATACCATTATCACCTTTTTAAAATTACGTTTTGCATTCTCTGTTTCTTGACTACATATTTTACAATCGGCCTGTATTAATCAAGCTTGTAATATGGGGGTACAAAAAATGTTTATATTTTATGATATTTATGGGTAAGGTGATTTGTTAAATTGTTTTTTTTAAATACGTATTTATAGTTTGTGATCAATAAAATATTAAGTATACCACTTTATTATGTACCTATCGACTATTTTTCAATCTTCAAATATCTTTTCCATAATAGAATATTTTTTATTATTTTTAAAAATCAAATAAGTGAAGTATGGTGAAACTCAGTTTGATTTACTCTCTTACAATCTTAATGCTGAAAAAGGACTAGATGCTTTGAGCAATTTTATATAAATTTATATCTTGCAGTCATTCAAGTAACTTCTGAAATATTATGAAGAAAAAAATTAAATTGTCTAAAATAACCGTTTTCGAAAACGGCATCTTAAAAACATTCCGTTAATTTAGCTATTAAAAGTGTATATTACCCGATCTTAAGAAAACCATAGCTGATTTTTTTTGTATCTTTTTCGTTTATAAATACATAGTATCTAAGAATATAGCTTACTGTAAATTATATGTAACATTTTTACGCCATCACAGGGAAACAAATGACTAAACTAGTCACCAACCTGGGAAATATTGCTATTCTATACATATTTAAGTAGTTTGTACAAAAACTTAAAGTTAGATTTAACACTGATATGGTAGATTCAGTTTGACTAGAAAATTTACAGTACTGTACAAGTGTTGAGAAGAAAGTGGGTAGTACCGCAAATTGTGTTGCAGCTAATGTCGCAACAATGTGATATAATGAAATAAATATGTCGGTTAGTCGACAACCACAGAATTTTAATATCAGTTATGATAAAAAATTAATATTGTAATTTTCGAGGCTATTTTATTATTACACATTGTTATGTTGGATCTGAAACTAGGTTGACTTTTTATTCGTATTTTAATTAATACCTTTGCAATTTGTCAAAGCGTATTCAAAGGAAATATTCTATATTTTTATTAACAATTCTTGTTTGCATGAGTGAACTGTATTTTGTATGTAATTGAATTATATCTACTCGCAGTTTGATCTCATACAGGGTTTTTATATTCACGATGTAGTCATTTTTAAAAATTACAAATATTTACTCAAATACGTACATTTTGAAAACTGCTGAAAATTATGTAATAACTCCTCAAATTTTTTGTTTCATGTTTCAAGATAAAAATTCTAATACATTGTGACTGTTTTCTAATTTAAAAAGTAGCAGCTGGTTTTAAGACAGAATTAATATTAAATTGTACTAACAACCAAATTTGAACGCAAAATCCTAAACCATTGAAAAATTTATTTCATATTTAAGATATACCCTGTATGTGTTGGACTTATTTCGATTTTGAAAAAGTTTAAAAAATCAAAAAATTTATATTTGGTAGTGACAAATAGACTACCGAACTACATCTAAATGACGTACAAGGACAAATGGCAAAAATTTTCTGATCCCATATTCGCATGTAAAATTTGGCGCTCTATCGATTCCTGATATAAAAAATAGGCTATTCCACTTGATATTTTAAAATTGACCTTGGTTTAACCTTGAACCTGAAGGTCAAGGTCAAATACAAGATCACCAACAAATTGGTCTCTTAATATCCTACAACTTTTGGACCTTTTTTGGGACATCTTTTATATTAATTTTCTAATTTTTCCGACAATTACAAAACATTTTTATGACCATCGATATTATGTCAGCAGTCCTTAATTGTAACGTTACCGTTACTGTATTTGAACGAATCATTCGATTTAAACTCGGCAAAAAAATTAAAGGAGCAAAAAAATTTCCAAATTTTTTTAGTGATGAGAAAAAAAAGAAGTATCTTTAAGCTTGAAGATTCTAGTTTTGAGATCTTGATATAAAACATTGTTTTGGGCATCAGTCGGACCAATCAAAATATATAATGCAAGGCAAACATTTTACAATTTTTTTTTCATATGGACAGAAAATTATTTTCTGGCTTAATCAACGCCATGATCATTTAGCCTGATTCATCAGCTTCAATTTGTTTTTTTTTATTATTATTATAACCTGAATCAATCCTGTTCAAGAACCTTTTGCTATGTTTGAGAATTTTTTTATATTTAGCATTAATTTGAAAACGTGCAAAAAATATTTTTTTCTGCTGTTTTGGAAAATCATCCACTACTTTGCGAATATTGCGAAGAATACCAATGTTTGTAGGTCTTTTTTTTAGCTTAATACATGCCCATGAGGCCTTTAAATTTTAAAACCTGTCGAATCGTTTTGCTTTTCTAAATCGTCAGTTTTATAAAAAATTTATGGAGCAGGTGTATTGCTCCTTAAACATCAATTAATGATTAAGATGAAACAAATTTTTTTGCGTTTTTCCCACAATTTCGCGTTAAATACTAATGAAATATCAAAAAAAAAAACAAAAATTTAAAATAAAAAAACCAATTTTGAAAAAATCAAAATCTTCAAAATTTTTATAAAATTTTTTGTATCCTTTTTTTTACAATTTCTCAAATGTTGGTAAAAAATATATTTTTTTAAAATTTAAAAAAAGTTGAAAAATTTGAATTTTTCAAAATTTTGAATTGCGCCAAGAGTAATGCTCAAACAAATTTTTCATCTCAAAATTTCAAAACTAGAATCTTCAAGTTTTAAGATGCTTCTTTTTCTTTCTAGATACGCCCATTATTCACGAATTTACAGTCTTTCAAAAATAACTAAAAAAATTGTAAATTTTTCTGCTTCCTTGATTTTTTGCTGACAATGAGTGTACTAAAAATAATTGTTTTCTTTATTTTTATTACAGTCGGTCACATAACAAACTAAGGCTGACGGAAACCATTCCACCTAGCGTGGTTAACATAAATATGCAATTTGGAAGAATTTATTAGCTGTATTGATCTCCGATTATATTAAATTGTCACGGAAACGACGCCATTTTGGGAATAGGTTCTGGTAATTTGAAAAATATGACCCTCTTATCGAACCCTCTTTCATAAGGCGGTCTTAAAATTTAGGTCAAACTTACTCTGTTCATATAACGTTCGACTATGATATTGAAACAAGATCTATCATATATAACTAAAAAATTATTAAAAGTTTCATCAATTTTCATAAAGTTTCAAAGGCAAAAATTTTCAGTTTTATCAACATATGATAGTAAAAGAGATGTTTTATATTTAATAAGCCGTAATAAAAACAATACAAGTTTTATATCTGTCGATTAATAATTTTTATGATTCTATGCTATGAAACACTGCTATTCAGGTACAAATAAATTGTTTAAGTAGAAAATAAATGTTTGAAATTATTGCAAGTGAGGTATATTAGTGTGGAAGTATATGTATTACCCACTTCCTTCAAAAGAAAAAGAAAACATGCGGTAACCAGTTATAGAATTTCGTTCATTTTTCTATAGTTAGTGGTGAAAGTTTTGCTTTTCATAAAATGCAAGGAATCGAAACGATAGTTTAACGTCGAAATTTGTAACTGTTTCTAACAAAAACGAGATCAAGCGTCAGTTGTTTTTTTAAGGTAGTAAATTAATGATATTGCATTACTTAAGCCTGTCTTTAATAGACACTACCTAATAATGTTAGGTAAATTATTTCAATTACTTGCATTCTTTCTTGATGAAAGCATAGGTAGATCTAGATAGCTGATACGTACATATATCTTGAAGATATCAAATCTCAAGGATTGCAGCTGNTAAACTTCACCTCGTGAATAATACCCATCATTATACGCTCGTTGAATAATATACTATTATGATTCTATGCTATGAAACAGTGCTATTCAGGTACAAATAAATTGTTTAAGTAGAAAATAAATGTTTGAAATTATTGCAAGTGAGGTATATTAGTGTGGAAGTATATGTATTACCCACTTCCTTCAAAAGAAAAAGAAAACATGCGGTAACCAGTTATAGAATTTCGTTCATTTTTCTATAGTTAGTGGTAAGTTTTGCTTTTCATAAAATGCAAGAAATCGAAACGATAGTTTAACGTCGAAATTTGTAACTGTTTCTAACAAAAACGAGATCAAGCGTCAGTTGTTTTTTTAAGGTAGTAAATTAATGATATTGCATTACTTAAGCCTGTCTTTAATAGACACTACCTAATAATGTTAGGTAAATTATTTCAATTACTTGCATTCTTTCTTGATGAAAGCATAGGTAGATCTAGATAGCTGATACGTACATATATCTTGAAGATATCAAATCTCAAGGATAGCAGCTGTTAGCATTCAATTGATAAGTACACCACTTAGTAAAGATATCAAGATATGTGTAATCTTTTCTTCACTAATTTGTTATGGTGCTCAATGTAAAACTATTAACTACAGTTTAATAAACATTTTACAAAACGATATGTTTACAGTTGATTTAGAAATGCTATTATATGTTTTAAATTAATCGTGCTTACAACGACTATATAAAGAGTTTCCCAAAAAGAACGCAGGATTTGAATTACACGCCATTTTCGTTCCGATGAGTCGGCAACATTGTGTGGGTCACATGTTGTAGTCAACACGTTGCAGTTATATAAAAGGGAGCGCTACACGACGAATGAGAGACTGAAAATTCATTATAAGTACGGAGAGTATGTAGCTGAGACTGTGTGCAAATTATATGGAATTTTCAGTAGAGGGAACGGCCCGAATGGAACAACTATGAAAAGATTACTTGATAAATTTAGAAAGGCTAGACTGCAGGATAATAAAAAAAAAAACAGGTCGGCCTCGCACTGGCCATCCAGCCGAAAATATTGCTACGGTGGGTGACAGTGTGGCGGAAATTCTCGTAACCTCACTACGCTGTCAGTCACTGCAATTAAACATTTCAAAAAGTATAATGCAGCTGATTTTAACAAAAGATCTGCATCTGCACTCATTCAAGATTCAGTTAACTCAGACGCCCATGCGCGGACATTCGTTGAGTGGATGTTGGAGAATCAATCAACAAGTGGACGTTGATTTTGTTAAGAAAATCATCTTTAGCGACGAGGCGCTTTTCCTTCTTTGTGGGTATGTGAATAAGCAAAACTTTCGCACTTAGGGCAGACACAATCATTCAAGAACGACCACTGTACATAGGTACAGTGGTCGTATATCCAAACAGTGACAGTGTGGTGTAGATTTCCGCTGGTGGGGTGACTTTTGTAAAGAATTTTCACAATCTTCACTTGTTCATCCGTCGTATAGAGCTCCATTTTGTCCTGCACAATACTACCAACTCTTCGGAACGAAAATGTCGTACAACAGGCCCATTCAGTAGATTTTTTTTTTACATATTCCAAAAGTTTACCCATTAATTAGTTAGTATGCCAAAAATCTATTTTTTGTTTCAACGATAAATGTGTGAAATAAATTAATGAAAACAGAGCGCGGAAAAACGTTGAGTAACCATTGCCTGACGTCATAATACCGGTACGGGCGACTGGCAGAGCACGCTTGCGTTCGCGCTCGCTCTCATCCCATTCTGTGTTAATACATACGGTGTGTGGTTCGCTTGGTTATGAGTGATGTTATCCACGGTTTCCCCAGCCACGGTATGCAACTCAAAACCACCTTCGTTTTTCTTTGGTTGCACGTCTAGGGGGTTGTAAAATATTATTATTTGAACATTTAGAGTACAATTTTCAACTTTATGCCGGAAAAAATTCTACCCCATCTAAATGTTCGTGTTCACAAAAAAATCGAAATACGTCGGCGAGAGGGACCTATAAGCAGTTAAGAACCACTCTCGTTTTTCTTTGGTTGCCCGTCTAGGGGGTTGTAAATATTATTATATAAACATTTAGAGCAGAATTTTAAAATTTATGCCGAAAAAAAAATTCTAGCCCATCTAAACGTTCCCGTCCACAAAAATTTCGTAATACGTGGCGAGAGGGACCTATAAGCAATTTATTTAAATAATAATATTTTACAACCCCCTAGACGGGCAACCAAAGAAAAACGAGGGTGGTTCTGAGTTGCTTCAAATACTAGTCAAAGTACTACTGGCACATACACGTCGTCGCAAACATCCACAAGTACCGAGTCTAGTACGTTGGGTACATTTGTACAAAAATGGAACGCAAAAGAAAATGTAGAAAAACGAACCATTTACGTCATTGAGTAAAATCCGAAAAATGTATTTAGGTATTCCAAGTCATTCTACGTTTATAATAAATATGTTGTGTGAAAAATGCATTTCAACAAGACTTGATGTATATGTCTTATACACTCTTTATTTATACACTTAGAAATATAGGTATATAATATAGGATGAAAGAAAAAGTTTAAAATTATACACTGAATGGGCCTATTCAAATCCTGTGTTACTTTTGGGATACCCTATACTTATATCGGTAGTCTTAGACCAGTAGGTATATTTGATTAATAACGTCGAAAACTTATCACATTTACTGCTATTTGTTACCTCAAATATTATTTTTAAGACAAAGTTCTGCTTATTTAAGGCAGCTAAGTTGTATATTTCCATTTTAACTCTGATTAAAAATTGGCTATACAAGTTATCTAGATCACCCTTTACCACTGTTTATCTCAGTATACGCACTATATTTTACACGACTTTGGTTTAAGCGCACAGCCTTTTTAAATAAATTACTTCGAGGCCTATGGATTTCACGTGGAAATGAAATAGACGAATTAGAATAGACGAAGATGTAGTTGTCATGAAAATAATGCAGAAGGTGGCGGTTTGAATCGTTTTTCCTTGACATACCCTCTTTCTATCTAAACATCAAACATAAAAGCAATTCAAGTCACCTTCCGAGAAACCCATTGGCCAAATCTAGACTAAATTCTCTTTAAAATTGTCCTAATCTAAACCATAGTGTCCTGTAAATGATCACAGTCCTGTCAAATGGCACTGATGTCTTCCCTGAACATATCTTTTTCGGAGGAATTTATCCTTGTTTGCCTCACGGAGTCGCAGCTTAGGTGCTCGCTGGAAAACTCGCCAAACGAGCCGTTCCTCCTTGCTACCACCTAAAAGGAAACAAAACCGTATTAGAAAGAAATAAACTACGAAGAAATAATTTCTATATGACGAGGGGTACTAGAAAAAATATCTGTCTAGCCATGCATAAATGTTGCCTAGTAGCGTTTACTAGTGACAACCTCTTTTTACTTGCAGGTCAAATTTGATGTCAGCCATTTTGCAGCAATAATAGTTTATGTTAGTAAGTTAGAACATTACAGTGTCATAAAATTTGCATTTGTTATTTTGCAGGGTTCACCAACAGAGGATTTGCACCGAATATATTCAATATATAAGTTGGTAAAAAGATTATAGATAAATCAAAAATCAAACAAAATTTATATATCAAAAACGGTTTCTCATTGATTGTGACGTCACACCGTTCTGTCAACATCGACACGTCACATCACACGTTGCATTGTCTTCCTATTTTCATTTGATTTATTGTTCTTTGGGTGCTTGCAAACACTCAATAGCTTTGTTTGTGTGGATGCGTTTGGCTCGTACAATGGAAAATTATATTACTAGAGATGGAAAAATAACAGTTAAATATATTGTTGGGGCGCAATACAAAAAAGCAGATCAGGCTTTTGATAACCCAAAAAAGTTACACATTAAATTGTCGAATATAAAAAAGCATATATAAATAATTTAAAACTTAGGTAGATGCTGAAAAAATTATTATCTCCCTGTATACAAGGTGATTTACCATGCTCTCTCTCTTCATGTGGTCCCAGGAGATTGCGAATACTGAAATCCGATGTTAGTATTTACGTTTTTGCGATAGTCTGATAGTGTTTACATTAGTTCTTCAAGTGTCAAAAATTGTTTACGTTTATAGCAACTCGGGAATTAATGAATAACGTTTTCATTTATGGTGAAGCAAGACAACATTTATTTTGTGTTATGGTGAATCAAGAAAACATTTGTGTTAGTTCGGAGAAACTGGATAAGACGGGCCGAAATGTCTGGTATGTCTAATTAATTTTAATAATTAATCATAATAATAATAATAACAGCATTAATTAATAATAACAATAGCAGCAAATTCAAGCAGTTGAGTATGCTGATATAAAATAGGTTTTATAAAATTCTATTTATTTCTTTCCTTGGGAAAGAAATTCTTTCAATTTTACATTCAAAATTTTTTTTTGGAGTTGTTAATCACCCTGTATATCTGTGTTACTAGCAGTAAATAGTAAGCACGGTAGGGTTAACTAAAACAATGTGAATATTATTTGGGTTATCATGTACCGAACTAGTAATATGAAAATATGTAATCTGTTATAATATGAATATATTCAATAAATATTTGATACATCTATTGCGCAAATGTAGATATTATTTTACGATTGAAATTATTTACTCCGTGAATATTTAATAAAATATGGGGCATTTAATTACAAGCAATTAATAAAATATATTGCGACCAAAATGTTTTATTTAATTAGTCGTTTCTATTTTCGTATCAGATAATGTTCCAGTTCTATGATTCAACAGTAAATAGGTACATATTTATAATTTATTATTTAAGTGTTTTGAGTTCATTCTAAAACTCTAATAATATTTTATTTTAATGCGTGGTGGTAATAGTTTAAATAACTAGATGGATTTCACAGGGTCTAACGACACTTATAGTGTACGATAAAGTTCAATAAACAAATAAATCTAAATAAAAAATTTAGATAAATTTGGATCGAATACACTAAAGATGAATTTTTCGAGACAAAACGTCTGAATCTGGTTTGGGCTGAGGCAGTACAATATTGGGGTCATGAAGGCTTGCAAAAAATGTAATAAAATTTCTAGGGTCGTATTTAAAAAAATTAAGTGGCCATGAGAAAGTGTTCTTCTTTTTTCAATATCACCTTAAACAAGGCTGAAATGAAACAAAAACAACAACAAAATTTCGTTTTTTTTTCAAATATTTCGAAAACGAATGGTAGTCTTGATTTTTTAGAGGCATAAATGATGGTCCCCTGAGTACGCCCTCATTTAAGCTACTTTGTACCTGTTACCGTTTCCGAGATCCTTATAGTGAAAAGCGAATTTGTACCAGCCTGTATGTTTTAAAGCGAATTTGCTTATATTTAAAGTGCTGTTAACAAAACGCTGATCTGATACAGCATCCATATTTAATACTTGAACATCAGTAACAATGCTTGGATATAATGATATAACAATAATATCAATAAGAGTTGATGAATGTTCTGTAATAGTCCAGGCGGTATCTGTTTTGGGTTGGATAAAACTCATATGATCGGAGAGGGCTTAATTGTTATTGCAAAAAAGCATAAAAAGGTAGCAAAAAAATTAATTTTTTTCTTAGATTTCTCGTCAACAACTTAGCTACTATTCATTTTAGACAAAAATGGAAGAGGAGAAAACGTTTTGTAATTAAATTTTGTACAAGATAGAGTTAGTTGCAATTTGAAAAAATAATTATTGTTATTGCAAAAATCGGAAACTTCATTTAAAAAATTGCAAAAAATGCTAGTTACCTAGGATCTTCATACTTTTCCCAAATAAACTTCTTAGTGCATAGAATCATCACACCAAATTTCATCCAATTCGGTTAGATAGTTTTTACATAATAATTGTTTAAATTTTGTATTTTTTTTAAATTAAAAAATTTTCAAAATCAAATTTCTAAAAATCTAAAGCCTTTGAATACTTGAAAATTTCACCACAAAAAGAAGAACTCTCAAGCTTTAAAATAGTTTTTGAAAAATTTAAATCGGGCGAGCCGTGGTGATTGTTTAAACATTTTCGCAATTTTCACGTTTATAAACAATTGCAATAATTTAATGTTTTTTTCAATTTTTTTTAATTTTAAAATATGGTTTGAAAATACTCGGAAAGACGAGTATGGGATCGGAGTAGCTGTGTGTTTGCTCCCCCCACCACTGATACCTCATTGATTTCACGCGGTCTTGAATATCTTTGAATGGCATTTTAAATGGGACGCCCGTGATTTCAAATTTTGAAAATTTATATCTGGAAAGTACTCGGAATGACAAACCTATTAGTTCAAAAAACAGCCCTTTTGGTGTGATGATTCTATGCACTAAGAAGTTTAATTGGGAAAAGTATGAANGCATTTAATTACAAGCAATTAATAAAATATATTGCGACCAAAATGTTTTATTTAATTAGTCGTTTCTATTTTCGTATCAGATAATTTCCCAGTTCTATGATTCAACAGTAAACAGGTACATATTTATAATTTATTATTTAAGTGTTTTGAGTTAATTCTAAAACTCTAATAATGTTTTATTTTAATGCGTGGTGGTAATAGTTTAAATAACTAGATGGATTTCACAGGGTCTAACGATACTTACAGTGTACGATAATTCAATAAACAAAGAAATCTACATAAAAAATTTAGATAAATTTGGAACGAATACACTGCAGATGAATATTTCGAGATAAATCGTCTGAATCTGATGAAGGCTTGCAAAATATGTAATAAAATTTCCAGGGTCGTATTTAAAAAAATGAAGTTGATGATTGTCCCGGAGAGACGAAACATTACATATAAAAATTGATTATGCCATTCGATAGAGGGCAAAAAGTTGCCCTGAGAAAGTGTTCTTCTTTTTTCAATATCACCTCAAACAAGGCTGAAATGAAACAAAAACGGATCTCCAAAATTTCTTTTTTTTTCAAATATTTCAAAAACTAATTACGTTAGCCTTGATTTTTTAGAAGCATAATGTTGGTCCCCTGATTACGCAACTTTGCCCCATTTAAGCTACTACGTACTTCTTACCGTTTCCAAAATCCCTGTAGTGAGAAGCGAATTTGTAACAGCCTGTATAGTTATAATCATTTGTATTTAAAACGTCAACATTAAAATCCCCACCGAAGGCTATATAATCATATTGAGGTAATAATTTAGTTAATACGTTCTTAAACTGGCCAATAAACATGTTGAACATAATATTAGGTCTATATAATGTTCCCAAGCACAGGTGATTACCTGCACTTTTCAAACTTATCCAATGTTGATCCAACGTATTATTATCTTTTGTATTAATAACAGTAAATGTGAAAGATTCTTTAATATAAAAGGCGACATTTAACATCTGATTACACGTTTGTACGATCAAATTGTTACAAAATGTCAAGAACTTATTCCAATTTAGAGTATGCAAATATGGTGTTTGCTTATGGTTTTTGTAATGGGAATGCTAATGCTGCTGTTGAAAATATCGTCTACGGTTTCTATATTACAGATGTCCTGATCACAGTCTTTAACTGTGCGAAACCGGAAAACTTCCCAGTGCTAATATAACATCTGAAAGAGCTTATCGACAAGGTTTAGAAGAAGTAGAAAATATTATGGGTCTAGTAGAATATGATGTAACTCACCAATAATTGCTACTCAATTGGCCATTCCACAAAAAAAAAAAAAACAGTACAGAGAGTACAACACCTACAACCGGAAGATTACGCAAAGCGTATCGAGTTTTGTCGATGAATCAATAATATCTTGTATCCCGCATACTTTTTACGGATGGCCCTTTCATTTTGCATAATCGATTCACAGAAGACGTGGCAGAAACTGTTGAAGTTAATGGAAATTATGTTCAAAATTAAATTATAAAAATCTTGTTTCATTTTTAAGGAGAAAATTTTTCTAGAACCCCTCAGAATCGACTAGCGAACTTTATTATCACTTACCAAGGTCTTGGTGCCGTAGTCGGTGATGAACTTGTCATTGTTGAGCGAAACGGACTGGTAGCCGCATTTGCAGCAAGCCGGATAGTGCGCCGTCAGGATTCGTTTAAACGCCTCTCGGAACTCGGTGTTGAAGATGGAGTAAATGATGGGATTGAAGGCGGAGTTGGAGTACCCCAACCAAGTGAGGATCTTGAAGGTGATGTCCGGGATGCAGGTTTTGCAGAAAGCCGCCACGATGTTGATGCAGAAGAAGGGAACCCAGCAGATTAGAAAGACGCCCATTATGATGCCTAAACAGTTGGGAAATAAGAAAAAATCTATGGTACATCAACACTATTTAACATATAATTTATAGTAAATTAAAAAAATATGACTTGATGTTAGTATACGAACAGTTACTTCTTCAATCTATATGCTCTAAATATGCTGGCTTCTGTAGCAATGGTTGAACTATTTCTGGGTTGATTACTGCGTCGTCGGTGTAAACTTCTTGACGTTTCAAAAGACATCACTCTCTTCTTCAGAAGAAACTTTGAAAATGAAGATCAGGAATTGAGAAAATCAAAAATACGGACAAGATCAAAGCCATCCAACTAGATCTGCATGATATCCATTTACAGAAACTTCTCTCAAGAATTTTGTCGAATGCTCATCGTATAAAACAAGGATGAGAATTTAGTAGACTTGGTAGAAGTATACATCGGACGAACCTTATTCGTTAGTGATCAACTTTATTAATAAACTGAAGAAGTAGCTCCCCCAAAAGTTATCCCCAGCTCTGACAAATATTTACATCGAGAGTCAGCAATTATAAAGACAAATGTAACGATTCATTTAGTATTTGACCTTAAACCACACCTTTCCTATTCTGTATGTTCTTGTTAAGAACACAATAAGTAAGGGTAAAGCGTATTTATTTAATGAAATATGTACCCCACAGGCAAGTGCTCAGTTACAAGATACCAAGACAAAATATAAATAGGTTTGTGTCGAGCATTAATTAAATTTAATAAATAATAAAAATCTGTAAAAAACACATTCATAGAAACACTAATTATTAAAATAGTAAAATTAAATTACATAAATTACACTAACAAGACAAATTCTGTCTAGAAAGACGATAACAAACACTGTACTCCGTTGAGATTCGTTGTTAATTAATAAACATTATGAATAGGCGTGGGCCCAAAATAGATTCCTGTGGCACATTTGTTTTTTTGTTATATAAAGCCGATCCACACAAATATGTATCCGAATCCTGAATCTCACCTTCGGCATTGAAACAAGGAACCATATGTATCATATCGAGCTCGCATATCTGTAAGCCAGAGCACTTGGACATGAAACTACATAATCTCGAAGCAGAAATATTGAACAAACTGATAGCAGAACACCTACAAGGTAAGGGAAGATTATCTATCAATAACCTATATTTCCTATGTACCTACATAGCTGTACAGCAAAGGGCGCTTATCAAGGAAGTACAAACCTCAATTAAAATGGGGTCAGTCTTTCCTAAGACGAGCTTCAAGAGCGATGTACTTCAAAATTTCGCGGTATTAGCATAATGTTAAACAAAAGTTTTACTTAAAAGACCGAAGAAAAATCAACAGTTGCACCTAGTAACAGTAGAACCTGGGGGCTGAAGCCAGAGTTGTTATATATAAGTGGATGTATACATCGATAGTAAGACCTAGGATTTTGTATGCCCTGTGGTCTGGTGTCAAAAAACGCAAAAAGCGCAACAGACCACAGCGAAGGAAAACTGAATAGAATCCACAGACTGGCCTTTTTGGGTATAACTGGGACGATGGCTGCGCTGGAAGTCACGTTAAATCTACCAGCGCTGCATATAGCAGTGGAAAGAGCAGCGTTATTAGCATCATACCGACTCAGGAATAATAACGACTGGAGAGGTAGGTAGTCACTATTACAGGATTATGAAGATATATGATACCCAGAAAAGATGGAGCCTAGTATGGTTTACGGATGGCTCTAAAATGGTCTAAGGTACGGGTGCAGGAATATATGGACTCAGACCTAGATGGAGTATAAGCTACAGCCTGGGCAGATTTCCTACTATATTCCAAGCAGAAATTTTCGCGATAATAGCGTGTTTAGCAGAGAATATACGTAGAGGTTATAAACACAAACTCACAAACAGTCAAGCTGCGATTAAAGCTTTAGGTATACACAAGATAAGTTCAAAACTTGAGTGGGAATGTTTACAAATGCTGACTTAACTGGCTACCACTAATACAGTTAGGCTGTGTTGGGTGCCAGGACATAAAGGCATTAATGGGAACGAAAAAGCGGATGAACTTGCTAGGAAAAAACAGAGTTCATTCTACGGTACATCTCCCAGTGTGGTCAGGGGGGCTCTGGGCAAATGGACTGAGACAACACAGGAAATACTGGACTTCAAGGCCAGGGCAAAGCCACTCGAGTTACTGAGCTTGAAGACAGTCTGCCGAGGATGTAACTCGCCGGATGAAACCTCACTGCATATCCTGGTAGAGTGCCCAGTAGTAGAATGACGCTCCTAGGAAGACCCTATCTGGAACCCAAGGAGCTGAGACTTTGTAAAACGGACAAAACTACTTGCTGAATAGGACTAAGTAGTGGGGCGCACAATAGGCCTGATAAGGTTGTTGTGCTATGGTACTTGATTAGAATCAACCACTAGGAAAAGAAGTAGAACAGTTGCAAAGTATCAGGTATAGTAGACCTAAATAATACTAAAATTATGGTGGGCGAGAGAAGATTTTGGCCAAGGCTGTACGGAGAAGCAATATAAATCTAAAGAATCGAAATACCAAGATCAGAATGTAGAACTATCTGGAACTTAGAAACGACTTATCGTGAAAATAAAAAACCAGAACGTCATACGCCAGTGAGCTCGAAATATTCACCGGGATGTAGGGATACACAACCAATATAAATACCGACCAGAGGACTTAATTTCCAATTTCAAAATTTCTTCTGACGAAGAGAGCGATATGTTTCTCCAAATGTCAAGTCTATACTGCCTACGTCCATCCCGGAAATTATTCAACTACGCTCGAAATAGTTTAACATTCCATATTACTGCCAATAATTCTTTTTCAGTGTAGGTATATAGAAACGTTAGGTTGTTCATACCTACAGTAACGGCAGCCTTGTGGTCGCTGACGTGGTACGGACTACTATGATGGTTGTGCAGGTGAATGTGAAGCGCTTTGTTCTTTTGTTTCGTGCTCTTCTTCTTCGAAATCGTGTTGGAGTCAGGCAGATCGATCGGCCTCGTGATTGCTCGTATGTTCTTCACGTGTTTTTGAGCGTAACAGTACAGTCTGCAGTATATGCCTAAAACAAAATATGAAAAAAATTGGTTATGTCATTGCATATAGATGTAAGTAAAAATAACTCCTTGTGATATTACGTCTAAACTGTTTATAGAGATAAAACCTAAGTGGTGATTACACGAAAAGATCGCGTGTTATTACATAAAATATGGGTACAATTAGCATCCGCAAATTATACAGTAACATCCTGCTTTGCATGTTTACTCCTAATATTGCTGGTTTTTATAATGCGCAAAGTTTAATTGGAACTGAACAAGGAATTTCGTAGCAGATTGTTAGAGTTTCTAGGCAAGTTGCAACAAATTTGCTATTAAAAGACTGATATGAGATACATTCATATATTTAAGAGAATGACTACCTGCGTCGATTTGAATAAAATTACCGCTCATCAATAAATTATAATTTTCAAGGAATTTTACACCATATGAGTTTATTGGCCAGTACTTTAAGAGTATCTATCTGGGAACCAATGTACAAGTAAAATACAAACGAAATATAGAACCTTGATAAATAACTACAAGTCACGTGACCAGTAGTTTTATTTCCTTCACGTTGGCAACAAAATTTCGGTAAAATTAAAAATTATTAAAATAATAAGATCAAGATTACATTGAAACACAATATTCTGTTTCTCCGGCTGCGATCGCATTATCTCGAACGTAGACAAACGGTTTGTCATTATTCATTGTAAACGAACAATTAAAATTGGTGTCGCTAAGATTTAGTCGACAGTGCAATCCGGTGACACTGTAGTATACCCTAGGATCGACAAAAAATAAGTAAACGTAGTTGTGGCCAAAAATATGTGTGATCGTCATAAAGGACTACCTACGTTGTGTGTATCCATTTTTAATTGACCGGAAGGCGCTGGCTACTAACTTTGTAGAGGGGATGTATGGTTCAATTATATAAAACAAAAGCAAAGTAAATATACCTAACCTTTATTTACATACAATTCAAATTAAACATGTGACAGATAGAAAGAACAACAAAAACATTAACAACCATTTAACATAAAATGAGAGTGCCAGGCTCACCTAGAGCTCCTGTGGGGAAAGAGCATGGCAGAGAAACCCACGATCTTTGCTCTTAACACCCAAATATAAATACAAAACAACCGCTAACCAAAGGCATAAATTAAGATCCTTTGCTAGTGATAAATAAGACCTGTCTCATTTAATGTGTCACTAAATGTCATCTGTTACCTCATATTAGTCATACACACTTCCAAGTAAAACTGAAGAGGTTTGGTGTTAGTTAGCCGGCAGAGCCGGAAGGTACTGGAGTCCCGTACGGGAGGCAATCCAGCTATAGTTGAGATTTCGGAAGATCCTTCATAACACTGGAGTCCCATACGGGAGGCAATCGAACTTAATCCAGATTCGTTCCGCACGGGCGAAAATGTTAGTAAATTCAACAAGGCTCGTATAGACGCATGACATAAAGTGAGCACAAGAAATCAAAGAAAAACCTAATCATGATAAAACAAGTTAAATGTGAAACAAAGAGGTCGTTAATGCAATATCTGGGCAGTTACGACAATATACATATTTTAACGTGTAATAAATAATGAGCAATCTATAATAATAATTGTAACAATTTTATATTAGGGAAATATACGCCCCTGAGCGTAAGACAATGAAGGCTAAACATATACAGAATTATTATCATGAACCATCTATATTTTACGAACAACGTAATCATGGCAAAAACAAGTTAGATGTGAAACAAAGAAGTCGTTATTGTGATGTCTGGCAATCAGGACAATACATATATTTTCACATGAAATAAATAATGGGCAAACTTTAAGTATAATTATAACAATTTTACCTTAGAAAAATATATGCCCTTGAGCATAAAGCAATGGAAGCTAAACTTACAAAGAATTATTATCATGAAACATCTATAATCATCACAATCATAAGATTATATAGAACAATTAACAACAAAGTACTTGAAGAATATTACCTGCTAACTAATAACACTTTAAACAATTAACTTTTCACTACTTTGACACACTGCCCGCCGATCGTCTTACTACCGATCTCCACACTATTCGCACTTCAACTACCTATCTTCAACTATCTAGGCTTCCTTCCAGAATGTCCCACCTAGGCGTTTGCTTTTTTGCACTTTCTTATACAACACTCATGTAACAGGTGACGTCGAAGTTGATAAGATAAGTACGGTTTTGCACAACACACTGTATATTTTATTATTTGCTTTTGTAGTTTTACTTTATTTTAAAAATATTGAGCTAATTCAAATAAATTCAAAAACAAAAAATCCTATCAAATCCAAATTATTTAACTTCATTTGACATGATTCTCTAGGAAAATATTTTAAATTTATTTGAACTAATCATTGTACTATATTTATTATTTGAAACATCTCACGCAAATGGAAACTTTTTTACCATTTTCTAAAAGGACCGCTACCCGCTTCGGTTTTTTCGATTATATCATATCGCTTTAAAATATTTATTACTTCTCGAATCGTCCCCATTCAATTCTTTCGCGGCGCTCTGCCTGTAACAGGTGTTTTCTTTCCCCAAAAAATAATAACAAAAACGTTGATTGATGTGAGTTCCTCGCTATACAAATGAAACTTCTTGCTCGAGATGAAGCATTCATTTTTACATTCTCTATTTTCCGTATTAGTAATAAATTTCACTCCGAGACGAACCCCCCCGAAGTCTACAAAGTTCTCAGTTTGGGCATTTTAGTGTTTTAGTTTCCTGGAATGCAATCCTTTAATCCATCCCGTAAGAAGGATTATAATGTTGCCGACTAGTGCGAGAAGGAAGGAACTGCACTGGGTTAAAGAAAGTATGAATTCATATTCCTGTTTCTGCCAGTTAAAAGGTTTTATAATCGTTATTTCCTTCGCTCTAATTTCTTAAGTGAAGTATATTTCCCCAACATATTTAATGGTAATAAATGATTTTTTAGAGACAGGTAGAAGCTTTAATAATAGGCATTTTCAATAATAATCCAAATTTATTAAAACATATTGAGAACATCTGAAATCGTCCCCGACTTACATACTGCATAAAATGAGGTGAATAATTGTGACCGTAAAGAGTTAAAACAATATAGAATTCAACTGCAAAGATGATTCAAGAAATATATTTCATTAATATAAAATGAACCAGAAAGATTACGAAAAAGATTCTTTCATATAGCTTCTTATGAATTGGCTTGGAGAGGAGGAGAGGCTACACACTGTAAAATTTACCATTTCAAAAGTGAAAAAAATCAAGATGGAACACCAACAGGAAGATTCGAATACAGTTCAATATTTTCAAAGACAGAACAAGGCGGATACAAATGGATAACAAAGAGAAACGATAACATAACATCTGATCGACTTTTTTAACTTCAAATCCCATTTGGACAAACAAATTCTAAAGGTTGGTATAAAAATGTTCCACTAGGAATTAATTCTATATCTGCATGGACAAAAGTATCTGCAGCTAAAATTGGACTGTATATCATAAATAATAAAATTACCAACCATTCAAACCGTGCCAGTACAATTTCTTACTTAGCCAAAAAACTGATAAAGATAACTAGACATTCGCCGTCATCATCCATTAAATCTTACCTTCAAATTGACCCTGAACATCACGAAACTCTTATTAGTAACTTACGAACCTCGGATAGAAGAAGTCAAAAGGAATATTCAACATGTACGGAAACTAGACAAGAAAATATTGAAATCAGTACACCAAACCAAACAATTTATAATAACTGTTCCTTCAAATAATTGGAATAAATAAAGATAATGGTTGTTATTCGTTCACATAGAATAAATAATAATATTTATTTTTGTTGTTCATTCATATATTTCATCGTTAATTTAACTTGCCAAAAACCACGCGAGCTTTTTATTTCATGGATAAAGTTCGTAAAATTACTGATTGGCAAAACTATTTCGTTATAAAGAGAAATTTATCCGATAAAAAGAAAAGCCTTGTGGTTTTACTGTTCATAATCATATTAAAATGTTACGAGTTAGTCGCACATCTTTATCTGCGATTTTCAAATAGGCTGCGTGTAGAGCGTGTCAGCGGTTCTCATAAAGTTTTCGTCATATCAATGTGGTAAAAAAATATTTCGGCCGATCAAATTTTCGCACTTGGATTGGTTTACACTTCAGATATCTTCTCCAAGTTTGTAAAAATCTCGTACTTACATTCATTTTATAATATATAACATGTATTACTATTTCTTTGACGTTGGCACAGCAGATATCATTCCTGATATTTTTTTTATTTTTGAGAGTAATTTCAAACCGATAAAGTACATTTGGAACTCATCCCAGTTTGTATAAATGGAAGGACTATTATTAACAATTGTAATTGTTACAAAGCAAATGGCCATATTTCTGAGCAAGTAGTGGCTAGTAACTTATAAAATCAACACACTGTTTCTTGTAAATTGATGTGTCGAATATTGGATATTAATTTCTTGATAAATTATCAAGACGAATTTATATATATTTATTGAAAATAACACACAGGCTCAAATTTGGCATTAAAGCTATTAGCCATGACTGCCATACATTGGACTGAAACAAACAAAAAAGTATTATACTGCTATGTCCTAAATTTAACCGTTTTCTATATTTCATCATCTAAATTAAGAAGCAGAACATGGATATTCTATACAACTTGGCTACGTTGCATTACAGTGTGCACATATCCTGACATTGCCAAGACAGCATGATGCGTGTCAGGTCTTGAACTTTGACATACCAATTTATGTACGAGTATGTACCAAACACTTTATTTATATGAATTATATCATAAAAAATAAAATGCAAACTCAACTTAACTGGATTTAGGTACGTATATTATTTGTTCAGCTGCATTAATTCACTCTCGAAAGTCAAATTAATTTTCTGTCACTAAGTAAGCCAACTCAAATATTAAGCTGAAAATATGTCTGAGGCACAATGTTTATGAAAGTTCAAAATACCATTTCTATTAAAACCTCATTCGTTATTAAGATTCTTCCAGAGAAATGTGGGTGGCTTGTTGATTTTATTTGCAATCCACCCACAAAAATTAAAACTCGCTGGAAAATCTTAACTCCCTTGAGGTTCAGTCTGAGAAAATGTCTAAGATGTATTCCCAAATATTTAACAGAACTTGTTGTGGACGACGATTATTGGCGCAGAATACAAAATGAAAAAAAATAACAGTTCAACAGTAATCAAAAACACAGAGCGCACTTGTTTTCTCTAGCGTCAACTGCCAATACCTGTGTCATCCAGCTGATTATTTACGGTAATTAACGCGCTGTTATCAAATGTACTCGTTCATGTTTATCGCCTAATGCATAAGTAGGGCTGTCAGAACTGAGCCGCGGGACATAGGCGTCACGTTATTTATTAAAAAGCAAAAAATTGAATTGTCTACAATACACCAAAATGAACACCAATGAATAGGAAATAATTATGGAACATCCGCACAATCACAAAGCAACAGTATACTATCGTGACGTGACCGTGAATAGTATTCTGAGGTAGCAGCTCACGCGTGTCTCTGTTGACCCGCTTGGCACGCCATTGTATTGCGGCTCTCTCTGACAGCTTTATTCATGAGCTGAAATAAATTTAATTTCCTAGTGAAATACATTTAATTTCTTAGTAATTTATTGAAGACCGTGTGTATTTTCTTTACAATCTATTATTACTATGTGTAGTTATAACAACTTTTTAATTTTTTTTCTAAAAAACTGTTCTATTAGGACTTATGTTCTATAATACTTATTTGTTGGGGTTAAATTTTTCACCTGTTAAAATAATGCCAGTCAATCACCTTACACTCTATATATTGACTGAACCAGTATTCGTCATGATAAAATCAATAATTATAGTCCAATCGACGAGTAGATCCAATCCGGTAGACGAGTTTACAAAAAATACCACCTGGAAACAAAAAATATGGTGATATAGGAAAAAAATTGTAATATAGTGTTTTCTTCCAGTGGCGCATAAACGGTGAAGTTAACCTAAAAAATTCCTAAAAGTCAAAAAAACGGTTTTTCGCTAATAAAAAAAAAGTTGAACTCCAATCGAAAATAGTTAAATGAGAAAGTTGTAGCTATTAAAAAAACCTATCGAATCGTATTTTTAAATATATCCATTGCTATATTACTTTTCCAGATATATCGAAAAAACCGTCCAAAATCGACTTTTTTGTTTTTGCTGTATTTCTTGCAAATTAAGGTTTTGAAACTTGTTACTTGCTGTAAATGTAGCCTTCGGCAAGCAAACAGGTACCTTTTTAAAATTAAAAAATATAAAAATTTTTTAAAGTTATATCAATTTTTCGAAAAAATTGTCATTTCGAAAATCGGCTCTTCTTGCTTGATGCATAGGGCTCATTTCTTTCCCTAAGAGTTGTACTTTCATGGTAAAAAAGAGTGTCCAAAAATGACTGAAAAAAGTAACAATTTTTGGATGCGTTTTTCTAACTCGAGAAATTTTTAATATTTTTTAATTTTAATAAAAGGTACTCTTTTGCTTACCGAGGGCTATATTTACAGCAAGAAACAAATTTCAAAACCATAATTTGCAAGAGATACAGCAAAAACAAGAGAAGTCGAATTTTGACGATTTTTTCGATATATCTCGAATCGATAGGTTTTTTAATAGCTACATCTTTCTCATTTAACTTTTTTCCATTGGAGTTTCAGTTTTTTATTAGCAAAAAACCGTTTTTTTAACTTTTATGAATTTTTTAGGTCAACTTCACCGTTTATGCGCCACAGGAAGAAAACACCGTCTTTCTTAATTTTTTTTTTATATATCATATTTTTTGTTTCCAGGTAGAATTTTTTGTAAATTTAACATTAGGCCTTGACAGATTTATTTCCACGATTGTTACCCTAATTGTTTACAATTACATTGCTACCAATGTGACTGTTTATTATCAGATGTCAGAATAATATTAAATGGTTGTTAAATGTAAATACTTTTTAAGTTAACTTATTTTTTTTTAATTTGGATAAAGAAGGTTTTTCATTTCGAATCCTTTGAACAGCGATTCAAATGCACCCTTAACTAATTAGATTAAGAAATTCCCACCGCGTGCAGTTGAGCATCGACTTCGAAATGGTACATACCTATCATAACAATGCATGGAACGTAGAAAGAAATGCAGCTGGAGACGACGGCGTAGGTGGGAGTGAGATCCAAGGCGCACGTGGGGTAGTTCTGCCCCCCAGCGTTGTACACCAAGGGCTGGGGCGGCCGGTGCAGACCGAGGGAGATGGGGACGAACGAAATGAGAGCGGCCAGAAGCCATATCGTGGCTATTGTTCCCAGGGCCACCCGTCTTGTCACCCACCTGCCGTACCTGTAATCAAGAAAAGATTTGGCTATACAGGGCGGTCACATTTAAGATTTACACGAATATTCACATAACGTTATACAGGGTGTCCGGAAATGATGAGCAAAGAATTCAGGGGATAATTCTAGACCGAAAATAAATGCTACCTCTTTCTATAACATTTTTTCCAAAACTGATTATTAACGGACTTACAGGGTGTTAAAGTTAAATTTTATTTGCAGTTTTTTTGCAATACCTTTTGCCACACTCATAATATTTTGACAAAATTTCGTATATGGGGGTTTTTCGGGATGAGGATTATAAATTTGCCCACCGTTTTTTCGCATTTTGTAGAGGGCGCCACATACGAGCCTTTATTTTGATTTGAATGGTTCCAACTTTTTTGTGCTACACTTTATGCGACTTTTGACTGAATATTTTTGTTCTCCTAACCTTTTGACATAAAAAAGGTATACTTTATTTGTTTCGATAAATCTAACCGTTTTCGAGAAAAACGCTAAAATAACATTGCTTGCATGTGATGAATACGAAATCATTTTAATTTATTTTCTACATTAAACATAGCATGCTTTGGAAACAAGCGCTTAGTTGCCTTGGAAACAAGTTTGTGGAGAATTAGTTTTGACAGATAGTAATTTTTGTGAAAATTTGTTGTTACGCTGATGGTGGTTAATGATAAATAATAAAAAAATAACGTCCTCAACAAATAAAGAATGGTTTACTAACAAAATCATAAGGTTAAAATACATAAGTTACTAGAACAATACAAATACAAATTAAACATTCAAATCAAAGGTTCAAAGTGACGTCCTTCCTCTTCAATGCATAAATTAATTCTTCTTAAAAAATTCCGACGAACTCTATGGAATATTCCTTCCTTTTGCTTAATTACCTCACAATTAGCAACAATTCTTTCTCTCAGTTCATCGACGCTATTCACAGGTGTCCTGTATACAAGCGTCTTCAGATAGCCCCAAAAAAAGAAATCGATTGGGTTTAAGTCAGGGGATCTAGGGGCCCACTGTACAAAACCACCGCGTCCTATCCACCTTTCAGGAAAAGTTTCATTTAAGAATTCTCTGGCCGCTAAACTAAAATGCGGTGGCGCGCCATCTTGAAGCAGCCACATTGCATTTCTTAATCCGAGTGGTACATCTTCCAATAGAATAGGTAAGTGGTTTCTTAAAAAATCCAAGTAAACTTCACCATTGAGTCTTTGTGGAAAGAAATGTGGCCCAATTAAGTAGTCCCCTACAATACCGGCCCACACGTTGACGGAAAACTTATTTTGATAACCACGCTCTATTGATAAATTAGGATTCTCATCAGACCAAAAATACTCATTGTGGAGGTTTATTAAGCCATCATGGCCAAATCCAGCTTCGTCCGTGAAGGATATTACGAACAAAATTTTGGTCACCATTATGAAGTATTCTAATTGTATTGCAAAAATTCACACGAGCAGCAGGATAAATCTTGCACCTTTTGGTAGTGGTACGGATGAAGGTTTTGTTCGCGTATTGTTTCATATACGGAGCTCTTTGGAATGCCCGCCTGAATAGCAATTGGGATTATTCTCTATCGAATTCAAAATACGATCTTCTGCTTCTGCTGTTCTAGTATTCCGTTGTCGACCTATATCAAAAATTCTGGTTTTGAACGATCAAAATTCTCCCAGTCTTCGATGAATAGTACTGAACATTCGCGATTGGGGTAGGTTTCTATTTGGAAATGCTTCGCGATACAAACGTCGTGCTGCAAGAGCATTGCCAGCAGCTAAACTAGAGCTACTAAAGTAGAGTAATTGTTGTTCATTTTTATTATTATTTTTATGATAACAATTACTACAAAAGGACTTATACAAAATTACTATCTGTCAAAACTAATTCTACACAAACTTGTTTCCAAGGCAACTAAGCGCTTGTTTCCAAAGCATGCCATGTTTAATGTAGAAAATAAATTAAAATGATTTCGTATTCATCACATGCAAGCAATGTTATTTTATCGTTTTTCTCGAAAACGGTTAGATTTATCGAAATAAAGTATATTTTTATTATGTCAAAAGGTTAGGAGAACAAAAATATTCAGTCAAAAGTCGCATAAAGTGTAGCATAAAAAAGTTGGAACCATTCAAACCAAAATAAAGGCTCATATGTGGCGCCATCTACAAAATGCGAAAAAACGGTGGGCTTTATAATCCTCATCCCGAAAAAACCCCATATACGAAATTTCGTCAAAATATTATGAGTGTGGCAAAAGGTATTGCAAAAAAAACTGCAAATAAAATTTAACTTTAACACCCTGTAACTCCGTTAATAATCAGTTTTGGAAAAAATGTTATAGAAAGAGGTAGCATTTATTTTCGGTCTAGAATTATCCCCTGAATTTTTTGCTCTTCATTTCCGTACACCCTGTATAAAGGGAGGTAGTTGACTGATTTTGGATTGTGGTTTTAGTCAGTATGCCTTTCAGAGTGCTTAATAATGCGTATATTTTAAGTGACCTCTGTGCATACAAGGTATACATTTTAAAACATTCACATCATGGTAGATGTTTGGTCAAATTTTGTATTTGATTTTTCTTTTGTTTAGTTTTTTGTTATTTGATTTGTTGATTTTTTTAATTGTAATTTCCACATCTTTTTATTTATTTACTTTTAACTTTGAGGGTTGCTTTCGGTATGCAGCAAAATAAAACTCTCTCTCAACGGTAAAATAAAAGTATTTTTTATTGAAAACAAATTGAAAAAGAAGTGTTGTCGGGACTAGCGTTCGCTGGAGAGTCTTGGCATGGAATCACTCGCAAGTATATGTATCTGGTCCTGTCGCCAATCTGCCGTGGACCTTTCCTGGATCCCTGGTGCGTCCCGCGTCTGTTATTTGTCAATGCAACTATTAGGCCGGTCCGGCGTCAGCTCTTGGCATAATACTTAAAATGGGTCACTTACGGTACTGTGTACCCACAACTTTTTTGTGTTATTTCTTCCTTCATTACTTTTTGTACGTGTTTTATATTTTAATACTTTAATATTTTAGTTTTTAATGTGTTCTTAGTATTGTTTCTTTTTATCTTGCCTTCTAATTGGATTGCTATCTGTAAAGCGGATTTTGCTTAAATATAGAAAAATAATTTTAATTTTGTAAGGAATCAAATACATAGTTTCTTTGAACGTTTCATTTCATTTGCAGCGGCATGTTATTTTTTCGAAATTATATTTTCAACTAAAGATTGAGGAGAAGGATATATGTGCGTTTTTCTTATTTTTTTTGTGCCTCAAAAACGAATTGTACATAAGAAATCTGAGATCAAATTTGAATTCCTTGCACCCAGTTTACCAAGATCGAGTCTGCAGATACTAATTATTTTGTCGTATTATCTGTTTAGGATATAGCAGTCTTACTTTTTTTTGTAATTTACCATCTAACTGTAGAATTTCTACGTCTTGAGGATTTTTTCTTGAACTATAAGAGACTAGATTAAAAATGTTTGGTTAAATAAATTTTTGTATTATCCTTGACGCATCTACCAAATTATGGAAATTAGGTAATTCTGTTCAAAACTTTCGCTGTTTTTATTCTACTATCTAGAAAATTTTCAGCCTGTACTAATAAATTATTTGGTATCTCCTTATTGGTGGGGGTCCCAAGCAATTGCCCATTTTGCCCAATGGTTAATCTGCTACTACTCATTTCTGTAATTTTATAAAGTTGAATATTTGAATTGGTTATTACTTGAACAGCTTATGTAACTTTTTGGTCAAATATGAAAGTCTCTTAACTTTAACATAATTACACACAGCTCAGGTCAGCATACCATAAATGTCGGTAAGAATTTAAAAACATTAAATTTAAAATAAAGTCAATAACAGAGAATACATTTTTGTGCAAGAAGTCTTCCGATTTGGCTATTGTTATACGGGGTGATTCACAAATGGTGACCAAAAATGAAACTTCGTAGTCTTTCGTGAATTTTAAGGGACGTCTTTCCTATAAAGTTTTTATCTAGGACGCTTCGTTAAAAAGATACAGGGTGTTAAACTTCAAAAAATATTTTTAATGTTTTCAAATAATTTAAAAACTAGTACTTAAGTGAAATAATTTGAAATTGGGCACATGTATTTATGTAAACATTGTACAAAAGCTGAGGGATTTTCCTAAAATTTACATGCTCCACTGGCGGAGATACAGGGTATCGGTGGCATATTTTTCTAAATAAAATAGTACGCCACTGCTTTACGGTAACAACCATGATATTTTCGGATTCGTCTTTTAATTTTCTACAAATTACTACTCTCTTATGTTTTTCAAAAAAAAAAAAATTCACCAAAGAATACGAGGTTTCATTTTTGGTCACTATTTGTGAATCACCCTAACACCTAAAAATTTCAATTAGTCACAAAAGATGATAAACCTATTTACGAAAATATTATAAGCTGAGGCAACAATAGAACACACAGAAACTAACATGTATAAAATATACATAGGTCTGATTGTTGGGTTCGAATGAATTTGAAATTTAAAATATACAGGGTGAGTAATTAATAATGGTACACAGCTTAATGGCAGATTGTTAACGTCAAAATATAGCGATTGAGCCAAACATGCCTTAATCAATTGTTGCTCATTTTCGTTCTACAGGGTGTTAAAGTTGAAAAAATATTTTCTTTTTTTATCTATATTTTAAGTATGTATGGACCGATTGTTTTGAAAATTCGTAGTTTTACGTATTTTGAAGTGGGAAATACGACGATGCAAATAGTGTTGGGGTCGCATCTAGAGGGCGCTAGTTGTACTGTCCTGTCAATGTAAAAATATGTCTAACTTTTTATATTTTACAATTTTGAATTTTTTAACTAGAAATTGTTGAACTACGTTCAATTCTAAATAAATAAAAGTTTACTTGTTACAAATCGATAAACTCAACTGTTTTCGAGATACAGACATTTTAAGTTTTTCAGATTCGACGGGAATTAAATTAGAAAATTATTTTTTCCAAAGTAGTAGACA